ATTCCTGCTTGTTCCAGTCATGAATGCTTTGAGGAGTAATGGTGGGACAAGAAGCAAGGTTTAAATGTTTGATGGGAGCCACCAGTTGCAGGGAGATAGAATTAATTATGAGATGGCTTGGCCTGTACCTTGCCCACTTATTATTCCTGATTTTTTCTCCCTTTCCATGTGATGCCCAGCAACGCTTTCACGCTTTCCTCCTTCAAGTTGCTTTGGGATGACCACAGGCCCTGAAGCAACTTTAGGTGAAACTGGTCTTGGAGAACTACCTTTGTGAGATGCTTGGCTACTGTGCTGCCCTTAACCCTGCTAATCAACTGTTGACTCCTGTGAAGGCTGTGTTTGGTGTGAAGGAGTATCACTGTGTTTGTGTTTTGGCATATCGCTCTGCACCCCTGGTACCTGTGGACTGGCACTCTGCTAAAAGTAAAGCCCTTTCCAGCAAGTGGAGATCACATTTGCTCCGCAAATTTCACACTAAACCTACCATTCCACAAGTCCTTCTGCCTATTCCAGTTATAGCCCGTTAACCATTTTTCTCCTCCACCTCCTTGCCCCTATCTCTCACTGTATGACCCTCCCCACGTTGGGAACCGAGCAGCGGAGCATGGTGCAGTGCCTGCCCTCACTCTGCTCCATGTCCCTCCGTCTACTTTGCAGCCCATCCCGGACACAAGCCCCATGAAGCGCTCAGTCTCCACACTGACCCCGCAGCGCCCTCATGCCATGCACCTCTATGAGTACTCCCTGGAGCGCATGCCACCAGAGCAAGGGCATCACCACCATCACCACCGCTGCCACCGGCGGAAAGAGAAGAAGCAGAAGTCCTTGGACAGGTCCCCCCATCAGCTGGCCGATGGAGAAGCTGGTAAGTGCTTTGCAAACAAGGATTTGTCCCTCAGCCTCCTCCCTTCAGGATGCAGAGAGGTCATCTGATGTGACTTGGGGTCCCATCTGTGTGGAAGGACACCCTGCCCCTCACTCGGGAGTTCCTCACGTAGTGGTGACCCTCAACCAATATTCTCCTTTCAGTGGCCCAGTCTGGTGAGTCTTCTTCCAAGGACAAGAAGCAGGAACGCGGCCGGTCCCAAGAGAGGAAGCAGCACTCTTCTTCCTCCTCTGAAAAGCAGCGCTTCTACTCCTGCGACCGCTATGGCAGCCGGGACCGTTCTCAGGCCAAGTCTACTGATCAGAGCAGGCCCACCTCACCCAACGGAGGTCCAGAGCAAGGTCCACACAGACAGGTGAGGAGATGCAGGGTGGGAAAAGAGCCCTAAGGTCTTCCAGAGATGCACGCATGTTTTCTATGCTTTGCCTAAAATAAAGGAGACAGAATGGGAAAGGCTAGGCAGTAGGAGGTAAAGCCTTTGGGGTCCTGCTTCGTGCTTCAAATCCAAGACAGGGATGGAAATATTGCTTGATGGCCTTCTAGTAGTCACCTATAGAGTGAGTGACTCAAGGCATCTCCCAGACACCCCACTCAGTCTTGTTGGATTGATAACATGGCACTTGTTAACATTCAGGTATTTTCTTTGTTAGTTAGTCCCTCTCTTTGGGAGATGCAGCTTTTCCCAGAAGCCCTGGCCCAGAAGGGTTCACCAGGTCCTTACCAAAAAAGAGAGGCTGGCTTTGAGCTTCACCCTGCCAACAAGGTGGCTTCGTTCCAGCTACAGCCAAGCCAAAAATCAGAACAGGTTTGGTTCAAAAAGTGGTTCTTTGCAGGTTTGTTTTTGTTTTTGTTTTTTAGTTAAAAAAAAAACAAAAAAGGAGAAGGAGACAAGAAAACCAAGCTATAGATGTTTCATTTTGGGTCAACTCCCAATGCTTTCTTTGACCCACATAGAAATGTTGTGCATCTTCACTGTTTCCTTTTCAGTGCAGGTGAAATTTTAAATATAAATCCCACTTCATGATGAATCTGGGAAAAGCATCTTTTTTAATGAGATGAGACTTCTTGGAATTTCAAAATGCTTCTGCAAGGCAGAGCTTGTTGGACATTTTGAAAAGAGACCTCACAGATTTTTTTTACAATCAAGACCACTTCCTGAATTGGTCCTGGATAAAAGACGTTTGTAAATCTTGCAAAACCATTTTTGGACAGCTTAATACTTACCAGAACAATTTAGTTCTGCTTTCTTTTGTAAGTATTGTAGTTGTGAGGTGCTCAGCTGCAGGACCCTGGAAAAAGCAGATCATCTTCCCCGAATGTTGGGACATTGTAGGTCACTGGATGGTGGTCACCATCTCCTCCATTACTATGGGGAGGCAGCTTGACTGGGGAGCAGGTACCCGGGATGGGACTATGGATCTGTAGCAGAGAGAAAGGTTGGAAAGGGAAGGAGCCAGAGAAAGGAGCAGGTGAAAAATGAAAGAAGATAAAAGCAAAGACTCAGATTCCAGTCAAGTCCAACCAACGACCCAACCCCACCATGCCCACTAAACCATGTCCTGAAGTGACACATTCACGTGTTTTTTTAATACCTCCAGGGATGGTGACTCCACCACTTCCCTGGGCAGCCTCTTCCAATGCTTGATCTCTTTTTCAGTAAAGTAATTTTTCCTAATATCCAATCTAACCCTCCTCTGGTGCAACTTGAGGCCATTTCCTCCCATCCTATCAACAACTCATGGCAACTGTGGCTAAAACAGCCTCTACATGCAGAGGCTGTGCTGAGTCTCCAGCACTGCTGGGCTTGCCCTCAAAACTGTGCTGGAAAAACCTGGCAGAGCAAAATGAGCAGTGATTGATAGCCCAACAAGCAACAACCTGATGTTCTTATAGGAAGGAAAAGCTGCTATTTAAAGATTAAAGGTCTGGGCTCAAAATGTTAGGTCACGAAAGGATGAGGGATTTTTAAAATGCACTTGCAGGGTTGTTCATGTACTGCCCTGGAAGAATGTAAAGAGAAATGCCAAAACCAGGGCCCATTCCTCTCTCTCATGGCATTTTTTAACTTACTGTAGCTTAGTTCACTCCCACATGTCACTATTTGTAACTCAGGAGGCTGCCAGACTTTTCTACCACTCAAAAATCAAATGTGTAATATTAAAGAGGAGAAGATGAGCATGTTTTAATTTGGTTCTTTGGAGGGGTTTTTGGTTGTTTTCTTTTTTTTTCTTTTTTCTTTTCTTCTTTCAGAAAGTGGCTATTTAATCAAAATATATTTCATTCAGAAAACTACAAACAAAAAATAGCCTGCCCCCAAATCCTCCTTCCACGTAATGTAATTTTGACCACAGAAATGCTCCCCAGCATCAGCATTCACATCTGTTGGGTGATGTTCTGAAAAAATCTCTAAAGCAGATGGTGCTGTTTTGCAAAACTGTATTTGCAAAAAAAACCACCCCAAAACCATAGGTTTTGAGCTGCTCCTGCCTAGTCCAGGTAAGGTGCATGTTGATCCTGTATATGGTGTGGATGCCTTCCCTCCGGACAGTGTCCCCTTCTGTTGGAGCCGTCTCCCAGTTTGCGTCCTACTAATACTCTGATCGTTTCTGTTCCTATTCACTGCTCACAGAACTTCAGTTCTCCAGCTCTTTACTTCTTGTGTTGAATTATTTCTCGAGAACCTCCTCCCCCTAACTGTGCTTGTCTAAACTCTCTCTTTTTCGCTTTTCTTTCCTCTTGTGACTTGTCTCTCCCTCCTGTTGCTTCTCCTTCTGTTTTATACCTGCCTGCCTTTGTGTTTGTCCGGTGTTTCCCTTTTTTATTTTTTGATTTGCTTTGTTCCAATTTTTATGTAGGGCAGTGGTTCAGTTAATGGGAGCCCCTTGCTGTCGACATCTGGTGCTAGTACCCCATGCCGGGGTCGGAGGCAGCTCCCACAGACGCCACTGACCCCACGCCCCAGCATCACTTACAAGACCGCTAACTCCTCGCCCGTGCACTTCACCAGTTTCCAAACCGGCCTGCCCACTTTCTCCCCGGGACGCCTGAGCCGCGGCTTGTCCGAGCACAACG